GAAGTCAGAAGAAGAGAATAATGAATGCATGATTGCTGTTTGGGTTTTCTCTACTTTATGCAGGCCAGGATTGAGCCAGGGAGTCGTGCTGACCACAGTGGTCAGGTCTTCCCATTTCAATTAATGAAATCTGGATAAATTCTGGCAGATATGATCAGAAGCCTATTTTGCAGGGTTTTCTTGTTATTGTCAAATTGACAATGAACACTATTACAGCATACATTGTCATTTTATCTTCCCAATAGGATGGCATTCATTCACAGAGAGGAATGAGGGAGGAACGTGTGTCTAAGAGGCTCTATTGTTCTGGCCTTTTCTATAAGGAGAAAACTGAAGTCTTGACTGGTAGTTTTAATGGAATGTTCTATTTTACTTGTCTTTTGTTAAATAAGGTGTGGACCAAGAGATTTCATCTGGTTGGAATGTTGTAGTTGTAAGCAGTTCAGAGAAAATGCTATTATAAAGTTACTAAGAAAAGAATGTTAGGCTGTTCATTGGATCTCTTAGTCTGGTGAATGAATTGTAGATTGAAAAGCCAATGACTAGACTATTCTCAAACTCTTCTTCCTTCTACCTCAGCCTCCCTAAGTTCTGGGATTGTGGGTATGACCACACAGTAGATAAAGGGTCATTGGCCTATACCTGCAATCCCAGCACTTAGGGAGACTGAGTTAGGAGGATGGAGAGTTTGAGAACAGTCTGGTCTACAGTGATACCCTGCCTCCAAAGAACAAAACAAAAGGAAAAGGAAGAGAGTGGTAGTAATAGTCTGGTGTGGAGGAAAAAATCAAGGGGAGGGTAAAGTTGGACATAAGTTTTCCAGTGGTGAGTTGGTCAAATAGGCTCTTAGGCAGTGTAGATGACTGCAGCGTGATAAATAAAAAAATCCAGAGATTGACATTGGGATTCAAGCTTCAAGCTGAAGATCAAAAAAGCAAAGCTGCCAGCCACTAGCTCTTACCTCTATCTCAAACTGAAAGGTGATCCTGGCTCCACCAGACATCAGACTGCAATCCCAGACTGCCATGCTTTCTCCTCAGTGTGGCTGGAGAATCCTGAGACTATATACTGAGACATATCTTTTATGCCTCTTTAGTTCTGGGATTAAAGGCATGAACTTGATCTCAGACAGATACATCTGTCTCCTGAATCCTGAGTCCTGTACCACCACTGCCTTATCTCTGTAGCTTGAGGCTGATTTTGCTTTCTAAATCATAAATAATATATCATCACAGATGACTGTTGTCCTATGAGGTATTAGTAGCCAGATGTATTCCTGAAGTACATGCTAGGACATACTCTGGGTGGTAAGGCAAGAAATATGTGTTCCCCCACATGGATCAGGGCAGTGAGATTGAATAATGAAACATGTTAGAATTTATATTAGTAGTTTGAAAGATAGACTGTGGATTTTTAAAAATTATTTATTATTTTAAAATTTAAATTAGAAACAAGGTTGCTTCACATGTCAATTCCAGGTCCCTCTCCCTTTCCCTCCCCTCCTCCCACACCCTCCCACCAGCCACCCAATATACCCTCATTTCCCCAGGGAGGGTGAGGACCTCCATGGGGGTGTCCATAGTCTGTCATTTCATCCAGGGCAGGGCCTAGACCCTTCCCCAAGAATCCAGGGTGAGAGTATGTCTCTCATTGTTGGATGGGTGCCCAAAGTCCATTTGTGTACCTGGGATAAATACTGATCTACTGCCCAAGGCTCAATAGATTACCTAGGCCTCCTCACTGACACCCACATTCAGGGGGTCCTGATCAGTCCCATGCTGGATTCCCAGCCATCAGTCTGGAATTCAAGAGCTAACCCTTGTCAGGTCAGCTGTTTCTGGGGGTTTAACCAGCCCAGTCTTAACCCCTTTGCTCATCAGTCCTCCCTCTCTGTCACTGGATTTCTTGAGTTCAGCTCAGTGCTTAGCCGTGGGAGTCTGCCTCTGCTTCCATCAGCACTGAATGAAGGTTCTGTTTCCCAGTCTCTCTGGCCATGGGATTGTAGGCTGAGACTCCCCAGCTCTATGTCTAAAATCCATATATGAGGGAGTACATGCCATGTTTCTCTTTTTGTGACTGTGTTACCTCACTCAGGATGGTTTCTTCTAGTGTCATCCATTTGCCTGCAAATCTCAGGATTCCATTGTTTTTTTCTGCTGAATAGTACTCCATTGTGTAAATGTACCACATTTTCTCTATCCACTATTAGGTTGAGGGGCATCTAGGTTGCTTCTAAGTTCTGGCTATTACAAATAATGCTGCTATGAACATAGTGGAACAGACATCCTTGTTGTATGAATGGGCATCTTTTGGATATATGCCTAAGAGTGGAGTTGCTGGGTCTTGTGGTAGGTTTATTCCCATTTTCCTGAGGAATCTCCATACTGATTTCCAAAGTGGTTGTACAAGTTGGCACTCCCACCAGCAGTGGAGGAGTGTTCCCCTTTCACCACAACCTCTCCAGCATAAATTGGTGTTTTTGATTTTAGCCATTCTGACAGGAGTGAGATGGTATCTCAGAGATGTTTTGATTTGCATTTCCCGGATGGCTAAAGATGTTGAGCACTTTCTCAATTGCCTTTCAGCCTTTTTAGACCCCTCTATTGATAATTCTCTATTTAGTTCTGTAGCCCACTTTTTAAATTGGATCCTTTGGTGTTTTGGAGACTTGCTTCTTGAGTTCTATGTACATTTTGGAGATCAGCCCTTTGTCAGATGTGGGGTTAGTGAATATCTTTTCCCATTCTGTGGGCTGCCTTTTTGTTTTGCTGACTGTGTCTTTTGCCTTACAGAAGCTTCTCAGTTTCAGGAGGTCCCATTTATTAATTGTTGACCTCACTGTCTGTGCTACTGGTGTTATGTTCAGGAAGCTGTCTCCTGAGAATGAAGACACAACATATCCAAACCTATGGGACACTTTGAAAGCAGTGCTACGAGGGAAGTTCATAGCACTAAGTGCCCACATGAAGAAACTAGAGAATAGTTATACTAGAGAATTAACAACACAGCTGAAAGCTCTAGAACACAAAGAAGCAAACTCCCCCTGGAGGAGTAGATGCCAGGAAATAATCAAACTGAGGGCTGAAATCAATAAAGTAGAAACTAGGAAAACAATACAAAGAATCAATGCAATGAAGAGTTGGTTCTTTGAGAAAATCAACAAGATAGACAAACCTTTGTCCAAACTTACCAAACAGCAGAGTGTGAACATGTAGATTAACAAAATCAGAAATGAAAAGGGGGACATAACAACGGACTCTGAGGAAATTCAGAGAATCATCAGGTCATACTTTGAAATCATGTACTCCACAAAATTAAAAAATTTAAAGGAAATGGACAACTTCCTGGATAGCTATCACTTGCCAAAATTAAGTCGAGAACAGATAAGCATGGATACTGTCCTTCTACTCCTTCCCATCTTCCCATCTCCCATCCACTCCTCAGAGAGGATGCGGCCTCCCATGGGGAGTTATCAAAGTCTGTCACATCATTTGGAGCATGACCAAGCCCCTCCCTCCTGTATTCAGGCAGAGCAGGGTATCCCTCCTTAGGGAATGGGCTCCAAAAAGCCAGTTCATGCACTAGGAATAATTACTGGTTCCACTGCCAGTGGACCCAATAATTGCTCAGGTCCCCCAAATGTCACCCACATTCAGGAGACCTAGTTATATCCTATGCTGGTTCCCCAGCTGTCAGTCTGGAGTCAGTGAGTTCCTACTTGCTTAGGTCACTGTTTCTGTGGATTTCCCAACATGGTCTTGACCCCTTTGTTCATATTGTCACTCCTCCTTTCTACAACTGGACTCCAGGAATTTGGTCTAGTGCTTAGCTGTGGATCTCTGCAACTTGTTTCATCAGTCACTAGATGAAGGCTCTATTATGGGAATTAATCTGATTATAGGGGAAGGGCAGTTAAGGTACCCTCTCCATTATTGCTTAGATTCTTCGTTGGATTTTTAGTAATGTTTAATAGGTTTTTAAAAAATTACCAGGTGGATAGAAGGGAAAACCAAAAAATACTCACTATTCTTGTACCTAAGAATGAATGCATATGTGCCCACTGGAAAAACAGCCCCTACCAGGAACCCCTGCTAGGCCATATGGTTTCCCTACCTGCTGTCTATCCTGGCCCTTCTGACTTAACAGCAGTTACATCCATCATGAGCCTTTGAGCATATGGCAGGGGCTAGCTGCCTGCTGCTGGCAGGTGCTCACTTTGGATCTCTAGATTTTCTTGTGTTGGTCCTCTTTCTCATCTCGCTGCTATGGCATTATTTCTAGCATATTGTCTTACACTGCTGGCTTCAGATTGTCCTCTTCCTGTGCTCAAGTGATGTGTCCACAATTGATAGTGATACTTAGGGAAGCTGGACTATCCTCAAATTTGGAGTCATAATTAAATATAAAGCCTTTGAAAGTATTTTTCATGAAATGTAATGCATTTTAAAATATGTTAACAGCCAGGCGTTGGTGGCGCACGCCTTTAATCCCAGCACTTGGGAGGCAGAGGCAGGCAGATCTCTGTGAGTTCGAGGCCAGGCTGGACCGACAGCCTCCAAAACAGAGAAGCCCTGTCTCATAAAACCAAAAAAAAAAAGAGTGTTTCTAAAATATGTTAACAACAAGAATGAGTGATGTTCATTAAGGACTAGTTGCTTTCCTTACTCCTGGAATCACTAAAATGTCTTTAACTTGGCAGGACTATTCAAAGAAGTTCATTTTATTTTTAACATGTGCATGATGCTTGCTGAGATGAATTCTTTTCAGTTTTTATAGGCATGCATCACTATGCCTAGAAAATTTTGTAGAATTCTTGAACTACCTGTAGTTGTGTCTGAAGCCTGCAACAGCTTATATTTCTCACAGAGGGAGGATTTACTTTCTGCCCTTCTAACTACGGCTTTTTGCCATCAAAATATTTATGGCTGTTTCTTCTCAGTGCTCAGGAACTACAGCACTGACTTCTGAATAACAGTTTTTTGTTGTTTCTTTCCTTGTAGAGACCTAAAGCCAGAAAATATCCTCCTTGATGATCATGGTAAGTAAAAAGAGGCTTTCATGCTTAAGTGTAGGCTATCAGAGGGACACCTACTTGAAAGCTAATGTGGACATCGCCTACTAGTGCAGACTAGAAACAGTAACTGAAAGAAACTCTTTAGGATATGTTCTTTAAAACAAACAAACAAACAAAAAGACAAAAAAACCAAAGGCCCAAACAGATGCATTGCCATCACCTGTACTTAGGCAAAACCAGAGATGCCAGATGTTTATGATGGATGTTTTGAAGTATGTGAAAATAAACCCAAAGTAGTATTTACCCTCCTGTTTGGTTTTTGTTATTAACCCATATTTATTTTTCTTTATTCATCAACTCTCTATACTTGGCATGCTACCCTCAGTGCTGTCACCTTGATAGATCCGGGGTGTGAATTGCTGTTATGGGGGCCCTGTGGTGGTAGATGGGGACTGGTTCTTGTAGTCAGCTTTTTGTCAGCATCATGGGTACTTTTGGTCTTGGTGTCTCTGGATCTGAGAATGGGCCCTATTACTAAGATGCTGGATGTGTTTACACTAACTCAGTTAGCAATATTAAGAAGGAGCTTCTGTCTAGTAATTCTTAGTGGCTAAAAGGATCTTCTTATATAGAGCATGAGCTAGAGCCAGAGTGATTGCTTCAGAGAATAGGTCAATGTCGCTGAGTCCTGAAGGCAAATATGGGGCGTGATCAATACGTAGCTTTATGTCTACGTCTGCCACTGCTTTCTGCATGTTACCCAACTCATATACTGACTCCCTGAAGAGGAAAGGTGCTGGAAAAAATAACTTTCCCAGGTTTTGTCTGCAGCATCCAACTCTAAGCTTGTGATTTGTGTTGGCATTGAAGCTACTTTAAAAGAGGCAGGGGGAGAGGACATGTTATATTGTAGGACATGAAGTAGTTTACTAAGTGTGTTAATAGGGTGAGTCTAAATCTAATGACAGGTTTCCTTTGAAGAACATTTTTTTGTAATCTGCTACTTTCATAGGAATTTAACAAACATTATGCCCTCCTTTACATAAAACTTTTTGCATAGTTGAGGTCTTTAAGTAAAGGGTCTTAATTTCATTATTTCCACTGGTAGTTGTAAGGAAATAATATGGTACCTCTGTTTTTATCTTGTGGCTACCTACTGCTAAAGGTCTTCTTCAAGTATAAATCTAATTTTTTGCTGTTAGTAAACCTCAATGTGCTATAAGAAATTTCACTACACAGGTAAAGGTTAAATGTAACTTTTAGATACTACTATTTTTTTTTTTTGGTTTTTCGAGACAGGGTTTCTCTATGGCTTTGGAGGCTGTCCTGGAACTAGCTCTTGTAGACCAGGCTGGCCTCGAACTCACAGAAATCCGCCTGCCTCTGCCTCCCAAGTGCTGGGATTAAAGGTGTGCGCCACCAACGCCCGGCTAGATACTACTATTTTTATACATATTTGTTGTGTGTGTTTTGTAGCACTGGGAATGGAATCTAGAGCTTCCAATATTTTAGGCAAGTGTTCTACTACTGAGCTATATCTTCAGCCCTCATCAATGCATTTTAGCTGGACTTTGCCTCCCAGTTATAATTGTTATTAAAATGCTGTTACTTCATCCCATGATTTGTACATTGTGTTTGAACACACACAGGACACATCCGAATTTCAGATCTTGGTCTAGCTCTGGAAGTCCCAGAAGGGGAGATGGTTCGAGGAAGAGTTGGTACTGTTGGCTACATGTGTAAGTGAAAGATGACTTTGGTGGGCCTTATCCTTTCCTGCCAGGAGGCCAGTGTTCCAGAACCTAGAGAAAAAAAATAGCTTTTCATTTACTTTAGTAGTACAAACCTCATTAAGCCATAAAAATAATGCCACATTGAAACACATTAACTTTTTAAAAATATTAGTATTATATTTATTTACTGTTGTGTATATGTATGTGTACATGTGATGATGCCAGAGATCACATGCAGAAGTGGGAGGATAACTCATGAGTCAGTTCTCCTTTCACAAAACTCAGGTAAGTCAGGTTTTAAGGCATGCACTTTTAGCCAGCATTTAATAAAGCTAATTACAAACACAGAAGTTCACATTCTTCAGAACTGAAAACAATGATTAGGTATAAATTCAATTTTAAAAGGACAAGACTCTTTTTGAGGGGCAGACACGGTGATATATGGGATTAAAGGTGTGCAACACCATGCTCAGTTAGTAGACATCTTTTTCTCTTCCTCCCTCCCTTTTTTTTAATATTAAACAGGGTTTCTCTTTGTAGCCCTGGCTGTCCTGGAACTCACTTTGTAGACTAGGCTGGCCTTGAACTGGGAGATCCACCTGCCTCTGCCTCCTGAGTGCTAGAACTAAAGGCGTATGCCAGCACCTTCTGACATCTTTCTCCCCTTTTATTAAACATAAATTCTTTTCTCATACAATATAATATGAATACAGTTTCCCTTTCTTCTGTTTCTCCTAGTTCCTCCCCACTTTCTCTCCTATCCTGATCCACTCCCTTTCTGTTTCTCATTAGGAAAGAACAGGCTTCTAGGAGATAACAAAATAAAATATATTAAGATAAAATGTAAACCATCATGTTGAAGTTGGACAAGCCAAGCCAACAGAAAAACAAAATAACCCTAATGAAGGTACAAAAATCAGAGTCCCACTTGTTTATACGAGTCCCATGAAATTACTAAACTGAAAACTATAATAAATATGTGCAAGGCCAGGCAGTGGTGGTGCACACCTGTAATCCTAGCACTTGAGAGGCAGAGGCAGGTGGATTTCTGAGTTTGAGGTCAGCCTGATCTACAGAATGAGTTCCAGGACATCCAGAGCTAGCAGAGAAAACCTGTCTTGAAAAAAAAGGAAAAAGAAAGAAAAAAGTATATTTACGTATAGAGGACCTGGTGCAGACCCAGGCCCTGTGATTGTTGCTTCAGTCTCTGAGTTTGTATTAGATTTGCTCAGTTGTTTAGAGGTCCTTGTTCTCCTTGTGTTCTCTATCTCTGCAACTCCTTCTGCCTCCTCTTCTTAGTGGTTTTCTGAGCTCTGAGGAGAGAGAATTGATGGAAACATCTCATTTAGAGCTTTGTGTTTCAAGTTCTCTTTCTCTATGTGTGCAGTATCTGGCTGTAGGTCTCTATTTGTTCACATTTGCTGCAGGAGGAAGCCTCTTTGATGATGACTGAAACGGCATCATTAGGAGTCATTTTGTTACTTTTTTTTTGACCAGTCATATTTGATTTTATCCTAGGTCTTTGGGCTATCTAGGTTCTGGTTCTTGGTCACCTAAGCAGTGTCGGGTATGGGTTCCACCTCATGGAGTGGGCCTGAAGTCAAATCAGACATCGATTAGTTACTCCTACAAGGTTTTTGCCCCTATTGCCCTAGCATATTTTACAGACAAGACAGATTGTAGATCAAAGTTTTTGTGGTTGGATTGCTGTTTGCTTTTCTCTTTTGATAGCCTGCAGAGTACGGTTCCATGTCATAGACACTAGAACATGGAGGTGAAGGTTCCATGTAGGCACCAGCTTGACCTGTCTATTTTCAGTGAGTTGTGTGGGTGTTGTCTTCAGCAATGGGACTTTACTGTCAGTTTGTGAATTGCAACCTCTTGTCTTGGCAACATCCTGGGTTGTTTGAGGATTTCCATGGGACCCTTTCAGCCAACAAATCAGTTGGCTGAAACTCAGTCCCGGCACTGGACTGAGTTTGTTTGATGACAGAGATGGCCATAAGGGTTCCTACTCCCTCATTTATTTGGAAACTTCATTAAGATTGTCTTCATATAAAGTTTCCACTGCACTAGGTTTCCACACCTCCCATCAAATGCTCTTCAATTCTAGCTGTCTCTCTTCTCATTCCCTCCTTCAGTTCCATCTTCCCTTCCCCTTTCTACTTGATCCTCCCATTCTCTCCAAAACCTTGGCTCCAGTATCCCCATAAAATCTATTTTATTTCCTCCTCCCAGGGAGATTTGTATGTCTCCTCTAGTCCCTTCATCTATGCCTAACCTCTCTAGGTCTATGGATTGAAGCTTGTTATCATTTATTTAATGGCTAATGTCCAGATATAAGTGAACACATACCATATTTATCCTTTTGGTTCTTGGTTACCTTATGCAGGAGTTTTGTTTTGTTTTGAGACAGTTTCTCTGTATAACAGTCCTGGCTGTCCTGGAACTAGCTTTGTAGACTAGGCTGGTCTCAAACTCATAGATATCTGCCTGCCTCTGCCTCCTGAGTGCTGGAATTAAAAGCGTGTGTCACCACCACCTGGCTCTGAAAGATGATTTTTTTTCTAGTTCCAGCCACTTGCCTGCAAATTTCCTGATGTCTTTTTTTTTAAAGCTGAGTAGTACTCCATTGTGTAAATGTACCATATTTTCTTCATCTATTCTTCTATTGAGGTACATCTAGGTTGTTTCCAACTTCTGGCTATTATTAATAGAGCATCAGTGAACATGGTTGAGCAAGTGTCCTGGTGGTAGGATGAAGCACCCTTTGGGTATGAACCCAAGAATAGTATAGCTGGATCCTAAAGTAGGTCATTTCCCATCTTTCTGAGAAACCACTATACTGATTTCCATAGTGGATGTGCAAGTTTTTACTCCCCCCAGCAATGGAGAAGTGTTCCCTTTCTCTACATCTTTGCCATTTGTATTATTGGTCTTAGCCATTCTTACAGGTATAAGATAAAACCTCAAAGAAGTTTTGGTTTGCATTTACCTGATGACTAAGGATGTTGAACATTTCTACAAATATTTCTCAGCCATTTGAGTTTTCTCTATTGGGAATTCTCTGTTTAGATTTGATTTGTAAACATTTTAAAATTGGGTTATTTATTTTTTAATGTTGTTTTTTGAGGTCTATGTATATTTTGGATATATTTGCGTTATGTCAGATGTAGAGTTGGTAAAAATCTTTTCTCATTCTGTAGGCTGCCACTTTGTCCAACTGTCGGTGTCCTTTGCTGTGGAGAAGCTTTCAGTTTCATGAGGTCTCTTTATTAATTGTTGATCTTAGTGCCTGTACTATCAGTGTTCAGAAAGTCATCTATTGTACAGTGTGTTGAAGGCTATTCCCCACTCTCTCTTCTATCAGGTCCAGTGTACCTTGTTTTATGTTGAGGTCTTTGATCCATTTGGAGTTGAATTTTGTGAAGGGTGCTAGGTGTGGATCTATTTGCATTCTTTTACATACAGCCATCCAGTTTGAATAGCACCGTTTATTGAAGATGCTGTCTTTTTTCCAGCATGCATTTCTGACTTCTTTATCAGAATCAGGTGTCCATGGGTGTTTGGGTATATGTCTGGATTTTCCATTCAATTCCATTGATCAGTGCGTGTGTTTTTGTGCCAGTACCATGAAGTTTTTGTTACTATAGCCTTGTAGTATAGCTTAAGATCAGGAATAGTCAGATCTCCTGCAGTTCTTTTCTTTCATTGTTCAGATTTTTGTGTTTCTATATGAAATTGAGAATTGTGCTTTCAAGGTCTGTGAAGAATTGTGTTGGAATTTTGATGGGGATTGAGCTGAATCTATAGATTGCTTTTGACAGGATGACCATTTTTACTATGTTAATCCTGATGATCTATGAGCATGGGAGATCTTTCCATCTTCTGATGTCTTTTTCAATTTTTCCATCAAATACTTGAAGTTTTTATTATATAGGTCTTTCATTTGCTTAGTTAGCATTACCTCAAGAAGCTATTGTGAAAGGTATTGTTTCCCTAATTTCTTTTTCAGTCTGTCATTTGTATATAGGAGGGCTACTGATTTTTGTGAGTTAATTGTCTATCCAGCTACTTGGCTGAAAGTGTTTATCAGCCATAGGAGTTCCCTGGTGCAATTTTTTGGGTCACTTATGTAAAAGCCTATCATCTGCAATCAAAGATATCGTGACTTCTTCCTTTTCAATTTGTATCTCTTTAATCTCCTTATTGTCTTATTGCTCTAGCTAAGACTTCAGGTATTATAGATATGGAGAGAGTGAACAACCTTGTCTTGTTCCTGATTTTAGAGAAATTGCTTCAAGTTTCTCTCCATTTAAGTTGGTATTGGCTATAGGCTTGCTATAAGCTTTCTTTATTATACTTAGGTATGTCCCCTGTATTCCTAATCTCTCCAGGACTTTTATCATGAAAGAGTGTGAGATTTTTGTCAAAGGCCTTCTTTTCTGCATCTAATGAGATGATCATGTGGCTTTTTTCTTTCAGTTTGTTTATACAGTGGATTGCATTTATTGATTTTCATATATTGAACCATCCCTGGGTCTTTGGGATGGGCTTGCTTGATCATTGTGGTGGTTTGCATAGTTATGGCCCCCATAGACTCATGTGTTTGAATACTTGGCCCATAGGAAGTGGCACTGTTAGGAGGTGTAGCCTTGTTGGAGCAAATGTGTCACTATGGAGGTGGATTCTGCAGCCATATATGCTCAAGCTATGCCCAACGTGGCACACGGGTCTCCTTTTACTGTCTGTGGATCAAGATGTAGAACTCTCAGTTCCTTCTCTAGCACCTTGTCTGCTTGCATGCCACCATACCCCACCACTGATGATAGTGGACTAAACCTCTGAAACTGTAAGCCAGTCTTGATTAAATAGTTTCCTTTATAAGAGTTGCAATGGTCCTTTAATCCCAGCACTCGGGAGGCAGAGGCAGGAGGATTGCTGTGAGTTCGAGGCCAGGCTGGATCGACAGCCTCCAAAACAATTCAGAGAAACCCTGTCTCGTAAAAACAAAAACAAAAACAAACAAACAAACAAAAAAGAGTTGCAATGGTCATGGTGTCTCTTCATAACAAGAGAAACCATTACTAAGAAAATCGTGGCTAATGATCTTTTTGATGTGTTCTTGGACTTAGTTTGCAAATATTCTGATTATTTTTGCATCAATGTTCATAAGGGAAATTGGTCTATAATTTTCTTTCTTTGTTGGATCTTTGTGTGGTTTGGGTATCAGGATAACTGTGGTCTCACAGAATGATTTGGGCAATGTTCCTTCTGCTTCTGTTTTGTGGAATAATTTGAGGAGTATTGGTGTTAACTCTTTTTTGAAAGTCTGTTAGAATTCTTCACTAAAACCATCTGGCCCTGGGCTTTGGTGGGTTTTTTTTGGGGGGGAGAGCTTTTTTATGTGCATTGGTGTTATTGCCTGCATGTATGTCTGTGTGAGGGTGTTGGATTCCCTGAAACTGGAGTTACAGACAGTTGTGAGTTGCCATATGGATGCTGAGAATGGAACCCAGGTCCACTGGAAGAATAGTCAGTACTCCTTTAGTCCCTGGTTGAGAAACTTTTAATGACTGCTTTTATTTCACAATGGGGTTATAGGTCTGTTTAAATGGCTTACCTGATATTGATATAACTTTGGCAAGTGGTATATATGAGGAAAATTATCCTTTTTAAAGATTTTCTGATTTTGTGGAGAGCAGGCTTTTAAAGTATGGTCTTATGATTGTCTGGATTTCCTCAGTGTCTGTGGTTATGTCCCCCTCTTCCTTTCTGATTTTATAATTTGGATATTCTCTCATGCCTTTTAGTTAATTTGCACAAGGGTTTGTCACTCTTACTGATTTTTTTGAAGAACTAACTCTTTGTTTCATTGATTTTTTTTTGTTTTTTTTCGAGACAGGGTTCCTCTGTGGCTTTGGCGAACTTGCAGAGATCCGCCTGCCTCTGCCTCCCGAGTGCTGGGATTAAAGGCATGCGCCACCAATGCCCGGCTCATTGATTTTTTTGTATTGTTCTCCTTGTATCTATTTTATTGATTCCAGCCCTTAGTTATTATTTCTTGTCATCTACACCTTTTGGGTGTGATTTCTTCTTTTTGTTCTAGAGCAGTGGTTCTCAGCTTTCCTAATGTTGTGACTCTAATACAGTTCCTCATGTTGTAGTGACCCCCAACCATAAAATATTTTTGTTGCTACTTCTGCTGTTACGAATCATAATGTAAGACCCAGAGGTTGAGAACCACTGCTCTAGAGCTTTCAAATGTGCTATTAAGTTGCTAGTATGAGATCTCTCCAGGCTTTTTATTTTAACTTAGTGCTATGAACTTTTCTCTTAGAACTACTATTATTGTGTCCCATAAATTTGGGTGTATTCACTTTCATTCAATTCTAGAAAGTCTTCGGTTGACCCATTTTTCATTCAGTATAGTGTTGTTCAGTTTCATGAATTTGTAAGATTTCTGTTGTTAATATCCAGATTTAATTTGTGATGGTCTGATAAGATGCAGGGAATTATTTCAATTTTCCTGTGTCTGTTGAGACTTACTTTGTGTCCAAATATATGGCCAGTTTTGGAGAAAGTTCCATGGGGTGCACAGAAGAAAGTATATCCTTTTGTGTTTGGATGAAATGTTCTGTATGTTTAGTGTTTTGATTATTATATAGCCAGCAGAATTTCTTTTCAGGTTCAATCTATTTGGTATTCTGTATGCTTCTTGTACCTTTATAGGCATCTCCTTCTTTAGGTTAGAAAATTTTTCTATGATTTTGTTGAAAATATTTTCTGGGCCTTTGATCTGGATTTCTTCTTCCCCTATTCCTATTATTGTTAGATTTGGTCTTTTCACAGCATCTCAGAATTCCTGGATGTTTTATGTCAGTACAATTTAGATTTAACATTTTCTTTGATGGATTTATATTTCTTCTATTGTAACTTCAATGCCTGAGATTCTCTCTTCCATATTTTGTATTCTGTCAGTGAAGCTCGCTCCTGTAGTTCCTGCTTGAATTCCTAAATTTTTAATATCTAGAATTCCCTCAGTTTTTTTCTTTGTTGCTTTTATTTTGTGTCTTGAATAGTATTATTTGTTTACTTCAACTGTTTTTCCTTGATTTTCTTTAAGGGATTTATTAATTTCCTCTTTAAGGACCTCTATCATCTTCATGTAGTTGATCTTAAGGTCCTTTTCTTGGTTTTCAGCTATGCTAGAATATTCAGTGTCTGCTGTGGTAGGGTTGCTGGGCTTCAGTGGAGACATTGTCCTGGTTGTTATTGTGTTTTTACACTGAAGTCTAGGCATCTGGGACTGGAATGATTATAGGTCTGGGAGATTATATTTGGTTTTGTCTCTTTTGGGTGAGTGTTTTTCCCTTGGTTTCTACTTTTTCTCTGAACTTTAGGAGAGTGTTGTGACTGTAGAGAATTTTCTCTGGACTTGTTTCTCTGGCCTGCTCAGCTGGCGTATTCCCAGGGTATGCCTGCTAGTGTTGGAGGTTAGGATAATGGGATGAGTTCAGGGAAGGAAGGCTGGAGGAGATCTTTATCATCTGTTTGGTGTAGGGTCCCAGAAGAAAGGGAGACCACAGCAGGTTTTCTGCTGTAGAGCTGGGGATGAGAGTGTGTAGGGGGATTAGATCTGGAGGGGCAGAAGGAAAGGTGTGAATTCACTGTCAGCCTACTTGTTGCCTTGGCAGGAGTGGCTCTTGGGGTAGCAGCGGGTGCCTGCTAGGGTTCGGTGCTGGGACAAAGCAGTGCGGGGGTCAGTTAGAAGGAGAGGATCTATGGGATCCACAGGAGATGTGAGCAGGGCAGGGAGGCTTGCCCCGGTGTTCTGCTGCAGATCTGGGGATAAGACTGGGAGACTGGGGAACAGAAAGCTAAGAGACATGTCTTTAAAGCAGCTGATCATATAGCTACATTTTAGCAGAGAAATCTGAACTGTATGTAAAAACTAGTAAGTACTATGAAAAATATGCATTTTTTTAGGTATAAAAATTAAGGAACTCAGCTGGACAGTGATGGTACACGCCTTTAATCCCAGCACTCCTCAAGGCAAAGACAGGTGGATTTCTGAGTTTGAGGCCACCCTCGTTTACAGAATGAGTTCCAGGACAGGCAGGGCTGCTACCCAGAGAAACTGTGTCTCGGAAAAAGAAGAAAACAAAAACAAAAAATTAATGAACTCTGATTTACAAATAATTGGGAAAACAGAGGCTAGAAAAATATCCTAACACTTGAGTTGTCTGTGCAGCAGCATTTGAGCCCCTGAGTGCTCAGATTGTTAGAATAGCAACTGATGCTGCTTCCCTAAAGAGTAACTGTTTCCCAACATGAACTCCATTATTTTCAAATGTTATCTAAATGTTAAAATTTAACGCAACATCATTGTAAATGTTTTGAAAATCTAGAGCAGTGGTTCCCAACCTTCCTAATGCTGTTCCTTAATACAGTTCCTCATGTGGTGACCCCCCCGACCATAACATTATTTTTGTAGCTACTTCATAACTATTATTTTGCTACTCTTATGAATTGCAATGCAAATATCTGTGTTTTCTGATGGTCTCAGGTGGCTCCTGTGAAAGGGTCTGTGAACCCCCAAAGGGATTGTGACCCATAGGTTAAGAACCACTGATCTAGACTGTCTGAGGATTTTTATAGTCTGCAGCCTTTTTATAAATGAGAAGTGGTGCCCATAGAGACTCCCGAGTTTATGTAGTTGTGTGAGGGCAGAGTCAGGTAAGGCTACAGGTCTCCTCATGTAGCTATCACACTGTGCATGTGGGCACACAAATCCTACCCACCTGATCCCTGAGAAAACTGATCATATTCAGATTATTCCAAAGATGTATAGGCAATGCCAGCCTACCCTTGGTAGCTTCTCAGGACATGGTGGGTCTCTCAGAGCCTGATATTCCTCCCCTTGCAGGTTTCTGGGGTTTCTTCTGACTTGGGAACAGATGACACTGAACTTGAGGCACCCATGGGAACATTCGAGTGGAGGGAGCATCCCCAGGAGGCAAGCTTTCTTTCCAGTACCATTTTACAATATTACCACCCTGCATCAGTCATGTTTATACAGTATAGATACATAGATACAGCTTCAATTATCCTTCACACATCAAGGAATCCAAATATTTGAAGTATATAATTCAGTGGATATTAGTGCACTTACAGAGTTGTGCATCCATTATTGCCATTACTTTATCTAATTTCAGAACATTCCTTAATGACTTCAGATTTTAATGACCTGTTAGCAACTACCCTCTATTCATCAATTTATACTCCAGGCTTTCAACCATGACCTTATGTTCAGTCTCTCTAGATTTGTATATTCCGCATATTTCATATAAATATAATCATATGATCTTTGGCCCTTTGTGTTTTCTTAACTTAGCATGTTTTTAAGGTTCTTAGATCATGTTGTAACAAACATTAAATTAATAATGTATTACTTGGAATTAATCATAAGAACATTTAAAACTAAAATTTAATTAAAAATTTTCATATTTGTTATATAGCTCCAGAAATTATCAATAATGAAAGGTATGCGTTTAGTCCTGATTGGTGGGGACTTGGCTGTCTGCTATATGAAATGATTGAAGGACACTCTCCATTCAAAAAATATAAAGAGAAAGTCACCCGGGATGAACTGGAAAGAAGAGTGAGGCATGAAACTGAGGAGTATTCTGAGAAGTTTTCAGAGGATGCCAAGTCCATCTGCAGCATGGTGGGTCAGGTTCCACAGAGATAGGGAAATGATTAACTCGCTTCATCTAACTCTTTTGATGGTTCAGAAGTAGGTAGGCAGTCTTCAAAGCGGAACAGCAACCCCATTCCCAGCTTACAGGTGCGGTGAGCTCAGCCAGACCTTGCAGTAACCAACCTCTTTCCTGGCACTCTTGCCTGGAATTTCATCTCAGGCCGACCATGAGAGCAGAGATCAAGTTCCCGGTCTAGTCAGAGGAAAACTCATGACTACCCTTTTATATTGATGTTATTGAAAGGAAGAATAGTGCCAAATTACTCTGTTTTCAGAAAACAGCTGCTGAGTCTTGTTCATTGACTCATTTTATGTAAAATTTAATATAAAACTAATTTCTAATGTATTTTGAAATGGGAAGATTGTCTCTGCCAATTTATTTTTCCTTAAATCATCACAGACTTGAAGGCCTGCATGGGCCAGACTGAAATGTACCTTACAGATTTGATTATTGTATTAGGGCCTTTAACTTCATGTGACACAATGATGCCAGAGAGCAAGTCCTACCCCATTATTATAAATCGGGCCAGTAGCATTTGGGTGCTGTCTGTCGTCAGGGCTGGAATTTTTTTTTCACCGTTTATACACTAAAATTTGTTAACTTGCTTACCTTAAAACGGTGCATATAGGGGTTTTTTTTGAGGTCTGTCTTTTGTAGCATCTTTAAAATTTTTCTTTCAACAAGGAATCATTGAGCATCTTCTATATAGAGTTCCTAGTACTATCATAGACACTAGGAATACAGCAGTGAGTAAACAGAGGGAAGGCCTGGCTCTTCCAGTGTTCTTATTCTGTTGCAAGGTGGGTAGCCACTAATAGTAAAAAGAACAAATATGACAAATATACTGGCTGCCAGAGGATGATGCATATTCTGGAGGAACCAGAAGGGGGGGGTGCGGGGGGGGGGCAGTGAGACACTGTAGTTGGTAGGATTTGGGGACAAAGAGCTGAAAGAAAGTGAATGTAGGTGTGGCATGGATAGCATTGGTAGAAGAGCAAATGTAAGAAATGTTCAGATTCCTGATGGACCTTGTAGGGGTTCCTGCAGTGGAGAAAAGGGGTCAAGGCTGAATCCCAAGCTGATAGAGCAGCAACCCTGAACAGGGAGAAGCACAAGCATTTGTGTGGAGAGGCGTACTTACTAGATCAGAAGTCTAGAATGGGGGAATAGAGGCACTAGTGTACAAAGGAAGATGTGAGCAGTTCCTTCTCGTAGTTTGGGGGCAGTGCAAGTGGCAGATTTGCTGTAGGACTTCTGAATAGGGACTTCCATCTTCTTATGCCCTCAGTATCCATGGGGTCAAGGGTAGGGAGAGAAACGTAGCAAGTATGGGTGCAGATAAGGTATGAAGCACCATTTAGAGAAGATGAAGCCGAAGAGCTGGGAAGTGCAAGAGGCTTCCTCATAGGCATCAAGTGCATGCATAGCGAGATGCTGTCCATAACCCATTGGTGTTTTGCTCTGTACAGGGACATGAGCCCAGAGACAGTAGAGAGCGATCTTTGCCCAGCTCTACAGTTGGCCTAGGCAGGTATGATAAAGCAGTCATGGAGACATGTAGGGAAACTGGCTGTGTGTAAAAAAGGACTGAGTCCTGGATCAGGCAGTCTTAAGTTGTTGAAGAAGAGTGACATAGGGAAAGGCAAGTAAAGACAGTAGGTGATTACAGCCAAGCGTGAGCTGTGGGTTGTTGGAATTGAGGCACCCCACACCAGGGTTAGAACAACTGGAGTGATGCACAGACAAGAAACTTCTTGAAAAGCTGATGATGAGGTCCTGCTGGTCCTGAGAAACCTAGCTTGTGACTCAGGGAGAGAGTGGCTTGGCAGGGTAGGAGATAAAGGGGTGGGCCTCTGTGGGTGTGAGAATGGCAACAATTGTACCTATTACTGAACTATACTGGTAACTTACATGAGTTGATACTATCTGGAGAATAATTATTTGGGGCTCCTTCATTTTGTTACCATATACAAAATGATGGGTGTTACAGATTTGTCACTGAGCCGTGGGATCCTCCTGGCTTTTCTCCCAGCTAGCCTACTCAGCTTGTAGCTGACAGCATTTCACAGTGGTTTGATCAAGCTACTTTTGCATTTGACTTTGTAAATATTGACTGAGTGCTTGCTATACATAGGACACTGACAGCACTGTATTGTGAAAGCAGAGGTGGAGCCTGCCCCCAAGGAGCTCACAGTTTAATCTTAGGCCTACATCCATAAGAATGACTAACAGTCAAGATTTGGATTCTATAAGCTTAAGTTTTAAAGAAGGGCTCAAGGGATTCAAGGATAAAATTCTTGTTATGCTAGAGGCACTGGGAAAGAATGTAGAATCTGAGCAAAGGACAGATTTTTGTTGTTTTTTTTTTTTAATGAATCACGGTTTCTCTGTGTCACCCTGGCCATCCTGAAATTTGCTTTGTAGACTAGGTTGACCTCGAACTCAAGAGATTCCACTGCCTCTGCCTCTTAAGTGCTGGAATTAAAGGCGCGCACCACCACCTGGCTTTTGTAAGTATGCTAGCTTTGCAGTTGGCCTAGTCTTAGCATCCTATGTCTTACATCCCTGAGCCCCAGTCTGTTATCTATAAGATGCAGGTGAGACAAGATGCTTCAAGGATAAAATCAAGTAATGAGAGTAAGTGGTTGAGATACGTATTCCTTTGATAAAACACCCTGATTTAAAAAAAAAAAAAACAAGAGAGAAAGGGCTTATTTGGCTCTTAATTGCAGGTTGTATTCTGTCACTACAGGGAAGTCAAGGCAGCTGGAACCTGAAGTAACTAGTCACATCACTTCCACCCTCAACAGCAAAGACCAATGAATTAATACAAATATACCAGTTCTCATCTGCCTATCTCCATTTAATCCAGGACCCAAGCCATGAAATGGTGTGGCCCACATTAGGAGTGGGCGTTTCTGCCAATTACTTCAATTAAGAAAATCTCTCACAAGAATGCTCACAAGTCCTGCATTTGAGACCCTTTTCCTCCTCCTGGGTTGCCTTATCCAACCTTGATGTGAGGGTTTGTGCCTAGTCTTATTGTCATTTGCTATGCTGTGTTTGGTTGATCCCTGAGAGGCCTGTTCTTTTGTTTTTTTGGGGGGGGTGGAAATGGAGGACTGGGTCTGGGGGAAAGGGAAAGTGGAGACTGGTAGGAGTGGAGGGAGGGGAAACTCTGGTCAGAATGTGCTGTATGAGAGTTAAAAATAAAAAAAAAATAAACAAAAAGAATGGGCACAAGTAAACCCAATCTGGACAATTCTCTTTAAGACTCCCTTTCCAGGTGATTCTAGATTGTGTCCATTTAACAGCTAAAATCAACCATTATGCTCAGTAACTGCTGTGAAGAGAAACAACTGGCTCTTAAACAGTGGGTTAAATTTCCCACAGATGGACATGGGTGACTTGTACAACAGCAGAGAGGAGGGTGTGCAGAGGACAAGAATGTGGGCCAATCTTTTTTGATTGATAGTAATTATGGAGGAAGACTTATTTGAATTTGTGAGTTATAAGCATGTAAAGAATACTTTTGAAAGAGACTGCTCGGTGTGCAGTTGGCACATGGCTATAACCCCCATACTCTGGAGGTACAGATATGCATATGAGAACTTCAAAATTAACCTAGGCTACAAGACCCTGTCTTGAAAAAACCTAGTGGCCCAGGATATTGTTCGGTGGGCTAAAACATTTTGTCACATAAGTCTGATGACCTGAGTTTTATCTCCAGAATCTATGCCAAAAGCCAGATATGGTGACACACATCTTTAATCCCTGTACTCCTGGGGTTAGAATAGGATCATCTGGAAGTTTGTGGCGCCAGCTAGTCTGGAATACAAACACAGCAGCAGGAACAAGGAGGCACTCTGCCTCAACAAGGTGGAAAGCAAGAATAGATTCCTGATCTGGAAAATTGTCCCTTGACCTCCACACATTTACTATGTGTATGTACTTACACAAATACATAAATAAAACCAAAAAGGGGAAAAGCAGAGATGATGTTAGAAACGGGAGAGACACAAAGTCAGAGAGTTAAGAATATACAGTTTCTAAAAGGAGGCTTACTAAATTTTTTACTCACTTGAGGTCCTTGTACTCTAATAAATAAATGTTTCTTTTTATAAATTCGACAGCATTAAAATAGTGTTTCTGAATTCATAACTCCATTTCCTTAATAATTATTCCTTAGTTTTTACAACATTTTTACTTGAGGATCAGTTTATTCAAATTGCTGGGGGGTTGTTTTTTTTGTTTGTTTTTTTGTCTTTTTTTGAGACAGAGTCTATTCCTAGAACTCATTATGTAGACCAGGCTGACCTCAAACTCGCAGAGATCTGCCTGCCTCTGCCCAAGTGCTAAGATTACAGGGGTACACAACAAGGCACAGAACTTCAAGCTTCCATCTCTTGGTCACTCATGGCAAGATTTGAGTTTTACTCTTTGCTAAACCATAACCTACTTAGTTAAGTCTGAAATTATACAGTGTGGTTGATACTTGGAGACTGTAGTGGCTCTTTATTTGGATAAATATCCTCTGTTACCCTGACTTCTTTGGTTGTTAAAGAAGACAGTTTTGAGTTTATATTTCTATCCTAATAGCTTCACTTGATTGTTTCTCTCTTGTGTAGTTACTCATCAAGGATCCAAATTATCGGCTAGGCTGTCAGAATGATGGAGCTGCTGCTGTAAAGCAGCACCCAGTGTTCAAGGACATTAACTTCAGCAGGCTGGAAGCAAATATGTTAGATCCCCCTTTCTATCCTGATGTAAGTATGCTACCTAGAGTAGCTAGGTCCCCAAGAATACTGATTCCCATAGCAATCTTTTTGATAAAGCACACTTGATACAACTAGCCTGTTGGTTCTGCTCTGAGGTCTGTTATTTTTGCTTCTTCTGCCTATGTCCCACCACCCCCACAGCCTTATGCAGACCTTAGTAGCTCCCTGGCTCCAAGGCCTGGGTTGTGCAGTCCATCACTTCTGAGATAGCCAAACTCCTGTCCTCCAAATTCTCAGTGCCATTTCAGATCCCTTTGGCATACCCTCCAAGGCTCTCTGTGTGCCAGTGATCCTGGTCAGATCTCAGTGCTGGGTGTACCTCTATTCCTGTGCTCACTCATTGTACTGAGTGCACACAGCTGCTGAGTCTGGAGTGTGCATCCTTCTGGAGCTGTCATGTGTGTGCTTCCTCATGAGTATGCTATTGAGATAAAAAAGTCATGCCTCCAAAAGCACAGGGCCTGGCACTTGTCAGCGCTGGGTATATAACATAGTACATACTAAGTGAATATGGAAAATATAGTACACAATAAGTGAACTACTGATGAAAGGATTCTACCCTTAGCAATCCAAAACTGGAAAGATAGCTAAATTTTCATTGTTGGATGGAATTAAGATAAATCTACAATTGAGATCCTTTTATTTGTAAGACTTCTTCAGAACTTGCTTAATATCCATAGTATTTGTTATAGTGGTAACTGCTTCCCTGGAGCTAATTCCTACTCAAGATATTCAGGGCATGTCCACTATCTCCAGAATAGCTCTAGGTGTGAAAACTAAGGGAGAGCAAGGTAGACAAAGGAGTGCCTCTGCTTGGAGAGACAGGTAGGAAGACAAACTGACTGGTATGCTGGGAAAGTGTTTCCTGACAGTGCAGAATTCATGACCTGGACTTCATATAGCTGTCAGGTCTGGAGATGGGGCAGCTTGGGTCAAAAGCAGGAAAGACAGGCCAATGTGGTTTCTCAGGAGGAAGAAATTGTCTGTGTTCTTGATTTAAACAAACTGCACCATTTGATGACAATTCAGCAAACTCTGAACATTTTGCTTTCAGAATTAAGATTCTTAGTTTGTAGGGCTGTATGTGTCTTGGCTTTTGGCCTAGACTGTCCCAAGAGAGGACTTTTCAGTCCTTTTTTTTTTTTTTTTTTTTTTGTTTTTTTTTTTGTTTTTCGAGACAGGGTTTCTCTGTATTGATTTGGAGGCTATGCTGGAACTTGCTCTGTAGAACAGCCTGACCTTGAACTCACAGAGATCCACCTGCCTCTGCCTCCCAAGTGCTGGGATTAAAGGCGTGTGCCTTTCCAGTCCTTCACTTTGTGGGATAGATGAGAATGGGAACAATGCTGACCAGTGACCTGCAGACTACTACTGTAATGACACTCATCATTTGCTCAACCCAAAAAACAGTACAATGACTTCTCAGGACTGTTGGTGTGTTTTTCAGTAGTAGACAAAGACTCCTTAGTTGTAGTTCTGTTATTTGTGTTCTCCTTAGTCCCAGAAGGGCAAGCAAAGCTCTGAAGGAATGGAGGCCTGGGTCTTGATAGCCCTATATTCTTACCTGATCACTTGCTCCTGAGGACAGCTGTGCCAAGGTAGAGACTGCAGGCCTAGACTCTAGTTATAGAGGAGAAATTGCTAGCAAGAAGGTTGCTTCTACTTTTCACCCAAATGCTAACTAAGTAAGTGCTTTGCAGGTAGGATGCTCAGGGCCAGAATCAAGATAAAAATTGTCACTAGTGGATCCTACAGCCAGTGGTCTCCATGCCTGTTTACAGGCCTCTCTGTGTCCCAACAGAAGCAACCCATCCCATTCTTGTATAGTTTCAACCTTTGCAATCTATTTTCTGCTGCAGAGATGAAAAAGGGTCCTCATGGTGCTGGTGGGGACTGGAACTGACATCACAGGATCTGTGACACTGAAAGCTCCTTGAGAAAAGTGACACTGGAACTGCTGTGTCACGGAATGTACATGATATAAATTAGAAAATTAGTTTGAAAGGGCCTTGGCAGTGAACAGAGTGGGGAGGAATATGTGTAGACTTTGTAATTAAGGGAGCTCAGAGCTGCTTTAGGACTGGGGATGTAGTTAAGTGGTAGGGTGTCTGCCCAACAGGTGCAGGCCCTATGTCCAATTCCCAGCAGCTGAAAATTAAAAGCAAAATATCTTTTATAAGCTAGGTATAGCACCTGGGGGTGGTCAAGGCAGCCAGAATGGAAGGTTAGGGACAACCTAGGCTACCTATTTCTGTCTCAAAAATCCAGAAGAAAACAAAATCAAACAACAAAACAAGAAAAGAGTTATTCTAATTGTCTCATATGTCTATGCCTCTTTTTGTTCTTGGTGCCCAGCCTCAGGCCGTTTATTGTAAGGATGTCTTGGATATTGGGCGGTTCTCTGTGATAAAAGGAGTCAACCTGGACAGCAGTGATGAAGACTTCTATGCCCAATTTGCTACAGGGAGTGTCACCATCCCCTGGCAGAATGAGGTACTACTCTTTCTAGCAGAGTAGGTTTATGTTAGTTTCAACGATGGCGTATGTGCGCGCGCGCGAAAGACTTGACTATGAGGACTATATCAGATCATGGGTAAGCCAAGACAGTATCAGCAGTTGCCAGAAGCATGACAGCTACTCTGGTCCTAGTTACAGGAGGTGATCTTGGGATTTGCCTGCCACCCTGAAGACCGGCTTCCTCAGCAGAGCTAGCTGGCAACTTGACTCCATTGGAATGGCTTTGAGGGGGTACATTTGGAGAAAGGGGGGTCACTTATTTAATGAGGAGGCCAGAAACCAGGAGTCTAGGAATGTGGAGTCAGGGAAGGTCTGGGAACTCTGATGTGCCTCACATTGAGGTCAGGTGCTGGGTGGGAGCTGATAATACTAGGAAATCATTCACCTCATGGTGTCTCTAAAGCTGCTCTATCTTGTCTTTTTGTGCACATAGATGATTGAATCTGGATGTTTCAAGGACCTCAATGAAAGTGAAGATGGGGGAGATTCGCCAACACATAAAAAAGAGAAGATGTGTCCCTCCATTCTCACACCAAAGAGAAATGTCTTACGTAGAATCTTCAGAAGAGGGGTAAAAAAATCATTTGTAAAAAGTAAACTGTTGTGGCTGAGGGAGATGCTTAGGGTAGAACACTTGCATAGTATGAGCAAGGGCTTTGTTTCTGAGAAACGGGTGTGGGCATGTGTATTTACACCCCCTCTATATTTTGTGTGTATATGTATCAAAAGGAAAATATTTTCTAAGGAAAACATCACTTTCCATTTTGTTTGTTTTTTGAGACAGAGTTTCCCTGTGTAGCCCTGGCTGTCCTGGAACTCACTTTGTAGACCAGGCTGTTCCCTAACTTGGAGATCTGCCTGCCTCTGCCTCCTGAGTACTGGGATTAACGGTGTATAGGCACTATCCACCAGTTATTTCTTTCCTTTCTGTAATGCCTCATATAGGAAATTTCAATCTGGGTGTAGCTCACACGTAGGAGACTGAGGTGCAAGAATCACTGTGAGTTTGAGGGCAGCTCACTGCATAATGAGTTATTGTTAGAAAGAAGGAAGAAGAAAGAGGAGGGGGAGGCAGGTAGACAGACATACACACACACACACACACAGAGAGAGAGAGAGAGAGAGAGAGAGAGAGAGAGAGAGAGAGAGAGAGAGAGAGAGAGAGAGAGATTTCATGTAGTTTAAGAGCCATATAGTTCGATTTAAAACTTATCCAGAAGCATCTTCACAATGCTGCTTGCTGTTGGTAGAAAGACTATTCTGATCCACATGACAATGACTTGTTAGCACTGAAATTGCTTCCTGTTTTGGTGACAAAGCATTTTGACCAAGCTTGGCATCTGATGGAATTCCCACAAACAGTGCATGTGTAGTCCTCCATGTCCTGAGTCCAACTACTGCTCTCCAAAGTCTCAAGAAAATAGGTTCCCTTCTAAAATTGGAAATCCTTTGGAGAGACTTTCTGTAGTAGCATTACTCTTGTTTGCTTTTTTCTCATGTATCCCAGGCTGGTTTAACTTGTTGTGTAGCAAAGGAAGCCCCTGGACTCCTGGTCTTCTTGCCTCAGCCTCTTGAGTGGTAGGACTAATGGTGTATACCAACACAACTGACAAGGTTAGAAAATAATTCACCAAGTAAAACTTCTTATGAGTGGATTGTTTTGCTTTGTTCCTATCAAGTTTTTAAATTTTACTTTATTGGGTTTTTTCTTGTAACTATAATTATTTGAGGAATTTACTAAAACATTGTTTGCTAGCATTCTAATTTGTATTTTTCAATATAAAAAAACAAGACTAGTAGTAAAAATCTCCCAAAGTGGTTGTTGTTATGATCATATTTTCTTTCACAACTAGGGATAGGTATATGATCTGAACATAATCAGCCTACCGCATACAATTAAGTCGTACTGGGCACCCTCCTTACTCAGAACCCATGTAACATCCACTAGAGAGTTTTCCACAGATAGAATAGAGTTATACTTTTTGGAGCACCTACTTACCATGGCACTTGTTGATGAAAGAGCCAGTGACCCTCTTTGTCTTCTGTATTCATTCAACTATGGAATTTGACTTCGCATGCAACAGTAACAAAACAGCAAAACTCATCTTAAGGCAGAATCTCAGTATACCAATTAAACATATGCCTTTAAAATTATTTTTAGCAGTATAAGGATGGAAGTTAGGACCTTGACCTGGTAAGTACTCTAACGCTAAGCTACATCCTCATACCCTCCACCTTTTATTTTTAAAACATTATTGAAACAGGGTCTTACTAAGTTTCCTGGGCTAGTCTTGAATTTGAGATCCTCTTGGTCCAGCCTCCTGAGTAGCTGGGAATACATTTAAAATTCCATTTCTTGAAGTAAATAAGAAAAATGCATTTAAACTTTCCTTACCTCACAATTAGTATCCTCCCAGTTTCTAGAACATTATTTAGGTATCTTTGAAGATTGGTTCCAAGATGCCAAAGTCTAAATGTGCTCAAGACTCTTTTATAAATGGACAGTGTTTATATAAATCATCTCTAGATTGCTTACAATACAGAATACAATATACAAATAGTTGTCATACTGTGCTATTTAACATATTGCATTGTCATATGACTTTCAATTTTTTTCTGAAAATTTTGATTCGGGTTGGTTGAGTCCATGCTTATGGACCTCATGGCTACTCAAGCAAAGCAAAGACATCTTGGCTGAGGCTGGCCGTTGTGTTGTGTGTTGCAGGGCTGCCTGACCATTGCCCCCAGTGAGGAGAGGGAGCCAACACAACACTGACCATTCACTGCGCAGACCACAGAGCGAGACCCTGGTGTAAGAAGGAACCTGTCACATACTCAGTGTCTTGTCCTTTCCATGAATTGTAATAAACAGTCTATGACACTGTTTGTAATGTGCTTTCATATATTTTTTACATTAATATCTGCATTATCTTTTACTGAAGCTGTATTAAAGAAGAAGCCTGAGAACACCACTGTATGCCATGAAGCTCCCAAGTGTGGATGTCTTGTGCATTTGAACAGTTTTCAGAAGTCCTGTCCTTGTGTATCTACCCTATACTGTCCAGTTTTCCCTGGACTTTGCTAAGGTTCTTACTGAAATGTAGTGCTGCTTTGTTAAATTGTTAATTCTAAACTCTCTCCCAGAATCGCAGGTTCTTTCTTTGTTTTAAATCTCCCCTGCCTGCTTTGGTACTCACACATCTGGTGTAGATTCTAGGCCAAGCATTTGGTTATGAAAGACCCCCAGAGTGGGGAAGACCCTCACTCAAGTCTCTGGATAAGCCGACACCCCAATAATTCAAGAGAGACCATTCTTGATGTGAGCACACGAGGTTTATTTGGGAACTAGTGCACTGGGGCCGAGCTCATAACCCTCTCATGGGCAGAGGAGTTCGACCCCCAATAGTTGCAGTGGGGGGGTGTTAAAAGGGAAAAACCACAAAGAATAGGGGAGTTTAGGCAAGCACCATAAAGAATGGGGAGTTTAGGCAAACAACATAAAGAATGGGGAAGTTAGGTGATAGCTCATGCCTTAATGGGAAGGTAATAGGTTATCTCAAGCAAGCATTCTAGAGGTATTGTACAATTAAACATTGAGTAAAGCACTAGAAGCGTTAGGAATGTGGTGATCTAGTTCCTGGATCAAAGAGTGTTATCTTTTAAGTTTATCTTGAGGTCACTGTTTTTTTAGGAGAGGGCAGAAGAACAAGTTACTCTGTGCTGGGCTAGTTGCTAGGGGTCTAAAAATGTTGAGTTGGGGTCTCTCAGTTAAATGTTACCTAAAGCCATACACCATCTTCCTGGGCCTGTGCTATATCACATACAAAGTGAAAAGGTTTTCCTTATGATTTGTTGAGGTCTCTTATGCTTTGACTCAAATCCAGTTCTAGCCAGTTCCCTGCTTCTTCATCCTCTTGGACTGTTCCTTATTGAACTGAATATGATTAAGCCTCTGCTGTTGTCAAATGGACCACATTTTTGTTTCACCCCTGCCACTGATGAATGCTGTGGAAAGCCTGCATCTTGCTTCTTTACATACATCTTGAAGGCCAAGTGGAGTTGTAAGTCATGCTGTGAAACATGAAAGAATACTTCTGATCTTGATCTTCTAATATGGAAATAACTGGGCTTAAGAAAGAATATAACTTAACTCCTGGAAGGAATGTTACACTTGATGTAGATCTTGTTGGTGAGTATGGTCACCAGTGTTGGTTATGGGGAACCACTCCCTGGGACTATTACAGATTTTGTGACACTTATGGTCCAAGTATGTAAGTCACTATGAAGTGTGGTGATGCTTCACTAAGGAGGGTTTTACTTCTGTATTATCACTTTTAGTGGGATGCAGAATAGGGGATTTTAATCAGGGTTCTCTAGAAGAACAGAACTGATAGAATAACTATACATTATAAAGGGGATAGATCAGATTGCCTTCACAGTATAGGATGAAACCTGACAGCTGCTTAGCTCTTGAGTCTAGAAACCTTAGTAATCTCAGTTTGTTACTAAAGGCTTGGAGGACTTCTGGAAAGTTGCTGATCTTCAGCCTGTGTTAGAAGGCTGAAGAAGCTGGATTCTGATGTCAATGAACAATGACAGCAATAAGGCAAATTCAGCCTTTGAAGAGCAGCCCCACTTTTTCTTCAGACCCCTTTATGTCTATGCTGCCTCTAGAAGGTGCTGCCTACTCTGGGGGAGGGTCTCACATCCTCAGTTAATCCTTTCAGGAAATACCCTTACAGACCCATCCAAAGATGAGTTTTTTAGTTGATCCCAGACCCAATCAAGTTGACAACAAATATTAACCATTATAAGTCCATCCCTCGTTAGCTCAACACCCAATTACACTTTTTTATGTTGTGCTTAATTTCCAAATGAAGCTAATAACAAGGTCGTAACTCCCCTTAACATGATAAAACTGTTGCATGTACATTTGCAAATGCATAATCCTCCCTCCAGAATAGATGGCAAAGTCCTTTGAGGAATGCTTAGTCTTTTAGTATCCCCATAACTTAAATATGATAATACAGATTCACAACACAACTACTGATATTATCTCAACTGACATTACATTGTAAAAAAAATAGAAGATATAAATAAATATATGCTTAATATGTATATTAATATATGCACAGACATTTTAACAATACAGAAACACTCATTGTAATTGCAATCCTTGTTTCTATAAGTGATCATGTGGCTTTAGCTAATATTAACTGTCTTCTAGTTACCTTTTTTTTTTTTTTTTTTTTTTACTGTGACAAAATATTTGACAGAGGCCAGGCAGTGATGGCGGATGCCTTTAAATCCCAGCACTTGGGAGGCAAAGACAGGTGAATTGCTGTGAGTTCGAAGCCAGCCTGGTCTACTGAGAGAGTTTCAGGACACCCTCCAAAGCTACAGAGAAACCCTGTCTTGAAAAACAAACAAACAAATGAAAAACTTGACAGACTTAAGGAAGGGGAGGGTTTATTTTGATTTACAGTTTCAGGGGGAAACAGTCTATCTTGGTGGGAAGTCATGGCAGCAGTAGCTGGAAACTTCCATTGCATCCATAGTTAGGAAGCAGAGTATAAACAGGAAGTGTGACTAGGCAGTAAAAGCTTAAGACCCACAAACAATGACCTACCTCTTCCAACAAGACTCTGCTTCCTAATGTTTCAACAGCATTCTCAGACACATAATCTGGGGACTAAGTGCTCAAATACATAAGCGTGTTAAGAGCATTTTATAGTCGCTGGGCGTTGGTGGCACATGCCTTTAATCCCAGCACTCAGGAGGCAGAGGCAGGTGGATCTCTGTGAGTTTGAGGCCAGGCTGATCTACAAGAGCTAGTTCCAGGACAGGTTCCAAAGCCACAGAGAAACTCCATCTCCAAAAACCAAAAAAAAAAAAATTTTTTTTTCATAGTCAAACCACAACATTGGGTTAACAGAAGTGTCTTTTGCCTTGGGGAGAGCAAGCCAACATAGCCTAGGAGTTGGAAACATCAGAGCACTGATCAGGATGGCTACCTTCAGATAAGCACCTCATATGCAAAAAACCTTGCCTGAGGGTGCTTGGCTTTATTGCATTAGAATGACAGTAACTGCTTGAGTCTGGATCTCTGGACAACCATCAAAGACCATACTGGTAACAAAGGGAACAAATAAAATAACCTCTAACCTTGCATAGTGCACCCAGAGGTGCTGGGAACAATGCCTGTATCCTGGGATCATGGTGATGAAGATACAAGGTAGAGATAAAGGCCTTATTGCTTAAAAGTGTCCTGGGGTACTGGCCCTTCTTGGACACACACACACACACACACACACACACACACACACACACACACACACACACAAGGAAGTTGAAGAGAAATCAAGGGAACTATAGACCAAGATCTTCCTTGAACCTGGAGTATTATCTAAATAGGTTTTCTTTATTTTTATATATCCTTATTTTTAATTAGTTTCTATTTAAATAAAAAAACTTATTTTATATACCAATCCCAGTTCCCTCTTCTTCCCGTCTTCCCATTCCTCCCACCAACCTCCCATCTTACCCCCAATCCACTCGTTGGGCAGCATGAGGCCTCCCATGGGGGAATCATTAGAGTCTATCACATAATTTGGGGCAGGATCTAGGCCCTCCCCATGTATCCAGGCTGAGAGGGTATCCCTCCATAGGGAACGGGTTCCCAAAGCCCATTCGTGTACTAGGGATAAATATTGGTTCCACCTCCTGAGGCCCTGTAACTGACAACCACTTTCAGGGGGACTGGTTTGGTCCTATGCTGGTTCCCCAGCTATCAGACTGGGGTCCATGAGCTCCCATTTGCTCAGGTCAGCTGTTTCTGTGGGTTTCCCAAGCATGGTCTTGACTCCTTTGCTTATCACTCCTCCCTCTACAATTGGATTCCAGGAGTTCAGATAAGTGCTAGCTATGAACCTCTGCTTCTGCTTCCATTAGCTCCTGGATGAAGGCTCTAGGATGGCATTTGAGGTAGTCATTAATCTCATTATAGGGGAAGGGCATTTAAGGTAGCCTTTCCACTATTGCTTAGATTCTTAGTTGGGGTCATCCTTGTAGATCCCTGGAGATTTCCCTAGTGCCAGGTTTCTTGTTAAGCCAATAACAGCTCCCTCTCTTAAGGTATCTCTTTCCTTGCTCTCCTTCTCTGTTCTTCCCCCAACTCAACCTTACTGATGCCTCATGTTCTCTTCCCCCATCCCTTCTCCCCTCTTCCTCTACCTCCCTACCCCCCTGTGCTCCCAATTTGCTCAGGAGATCTGGTGCCTTTCCCCTTTTCCAGGGGTCCATGTATGTCTCTCTCTTAGGGTCCTCCTTGTTTTCCTTGCTTCTCTGGGGTTGTGGATTGTAGTCTGGTTATCTTTGCTATATGTTTAATAACCACTTATGAGTGAGTACATATCATGTTTTTCTTTTTGTGTCTGAGCTACCTCAATAAGGATGATTTCTTCTAGTTCTTTCAAGATTTCATTGTTTTTTCCCCCCACATTTTCTCTAAATAGATTTTCTATGGGGAACTTCAATTGATAGGTCTAAAACATGCAGGAGGCTACACTGTAACAGAGGAGTGATTACTGTGGCACAGCTGTGCTGTCCCTGTGAGGCATGGGGTTTTACAGGGCCAGTAAGGCAGATTGTATGTAGCTGTCCCAGAGGCATCTGATCACATTGTATCAGCAATCAGGAAGCATACATTGTACGAGGAATGGGTTTAGCTATAAATCCTCAAGGCCTGCCTGCCCCTACTGACTCACTTCCTCCTGCAAATCTCCACTTCCAAATGGCTTCACAACCTTCCCAAACAGTACTACCAGCTGGGAACCAGTGTTAAAAAATGAGCATATGTTTGGTCCCATCCTTGACCCCTGGCCTCA